GGACGCGCGCCATGAGCTCCCCCGACGAGGTGCCTGCGTGGCGCGCCGGTGTGGGCCAGGAGCGGGGGGAGCGGGCCGACCCCGGAGCCCCGTGGGGCCCCGGACTAGGCCTGGACTTGGGGGCGCCGCGGAGCGGCCAGGGCGAGGGCGGGCTCGCAGACCTCGAGGGCTCCGAGTCCGAGGGTGACTTGCTGGAGACGGGAAGGGGGGTACTTTGGGGCCGGGAAGGCCGGCCTTGCACCCCGGTCGACGGGAAGGGGGACGGCCTGGACTACGCGTCCTACTTCGCCGACGAGTCTGCGGCCATCTTGCCGCCGCTGAGCGACCGGGGTGCCTGGGGCGTCCGCAGACCCCCGTCCCCAGAGAGTGGCGCCGCCGAGGAGTCCAGCATTTGGGCGGCCCTGGAAGCAGGCCCCGGTGGGCGAGGCGCGCTGGCCCCTTGCTGTGTCGAATCGCAGCCGGCTTCTGCCGCCCCTCTCCGCCGCGGTGGGACCCGGAGAAGAGGCACTAAAAGCAGGCTGGCCGTCGGCGTGGATCCCCGGCGGCCCCCCGCCGAAGGTCTGGTTGGGCTGCCTTCCGACCCCGAGTCGTCAGATGAGTTCAGTGAGATGCAGCTGATGAGGGTGAGCATCCACCTCAAAGGAGGAGGCCAAGCCAAGCCCGTGAGCCCCGAGGAGCCTGGAGCCACACCCAGACCTTCGGGTGTCCAGCTCGCGGAAGGTTTCCTTCACAGGCCAGGCTCGCTCCTGACCTCTGCTCCCGCGGGACTCACTTCAGCCAGGGAAAGGAAGGCCGTTGGGGAGCCGGACACCCCCTCCTCGACGAGAATGCAGAGTGCCGTCTGGGGAAAGGGAGGGAGCAGACCCAGCTGCCCAGGAGCTGCTGCAGCAGCTGTCGGGGCCCTGCCCGGGGTCCCTCCTAGGAGGAAGGGGGCCCGGGAGAAGAAATCACCAGAGGCTGCCTCCAAGATACCCGTGGGGAGGGCCTTTCCTCCATGGGGGCAGAGACACTCAGCAGTTCCCCGGGAACCAGGCACCTTGCCCCCGATCTCTGGGGTTCCACTGTTTGGGAGGTCCAAGAGACACCCCTGGCTGTCATCGGGACCCAGACAGTCCAAGCACAGCGCCACTGGGAAGAAGGCCGGGGCGAGGAAGACAAGGGAGTCCCAGCCTGTGGCCAGAGAGGATAATGACCCAGACAGAGATCCGGTCCCAAGGGCCCAAGTGAGTGGGCCGTCCTCCACCTCTCACCCGGTGCTTCCCCTTCCCCAGCACCCGCCTCTCTCCCCGTGCTTTCCCTGTCCCCTTGCTCAAGGCTTGTCACTGGCAGTGCACGGGCGTTAGGATGCCCAGTCGGGATCATCTTCGTAAGGGCACACTTGAAGAGAGCACTTGGTGTGTTCTGGACACTTTGCAGGTTTCCTGGCTCCTCCCCAGATGGAAGGCTTGGCCCTTTCTACCACACTGTGACTTGGGTCGGGCCACCCCTTAAAGTTTGGGCTGCAGAGCTTGGGTGTCTAGACTCACCAGCTCCCTGATCGCTTCTTCCTAGCCGCTCCTCAAGCCTGCCTCACGGGGAGTCTACTGTCTCGGTATTTCCTCCGGTTTTCCCTGGCCCAGCTCTGCCTCCTGGCCTGGGGTTGACTGAGGGACAAAGTGCTCACGAGATTAGCCTCTGAATTCCCCTCCTTATTCCCCACCTCTCCACGGCCCGTACACACACACAGACACATGTACACACAGACACACGTGCACCCATACACACACATACACACACACATGCACACGGCCTCACTGTGAGAAATCTTTGTTTTAGCGCCCGGTACACACACCAGGGTCACCTTGCGTATGTGGGCATCGAGGAGAGTTCAGCAGTGGCGACCCCAACAGTAGAGGCCTTCAAGGTCCAGGAAACTCACAGCCCATGGCCTCGAGCCAGGGAGGCGTCATGCCAAGAAGCTCTGCACCCTCCGGTGAGTCTTGTGGGTTCGGTGTGGAGGAGGGATGCCCCTGTCCCTTCACGACTGGGGGGCTCAGCCTTGCTCCCAGGCTGCCCTGCCTACCCCGGCAGCTGTACCACAGGAAGCCGGGTTATCAGCAGGGCTGGTCTTAAACCATATAGTCCCCCGAGTGGGGCTTGTGGGGCAGTGACGGCGATTTGTAGTATTGCCCCAAACTCCAACTGCAGAAGTAGGCTTTCCGCGGAAGTGAGCCTCTTCTGTTAAGTCCTGTTCAACCACATTGCTCCTCCCTGGGACTGCCTATGGTGGCAACTCTGCCAGTGTCGAACCCAGAGCCGTAACACTAGGGGGCCACGGGCCTACTAAGCGCTGACCCTGGGGAGCAGGGAAGGTAGGCCCAGACCCAAGGTGTGTGCTGCTGGACAGAGCAGGGACAACGTGTTGCCAGCAGAGGGTGGTGCTGCCTCACTTTAGACCCTTCTCGGCCCTTTCCCTCTCACGGTGAGGCTAGGAAGCTGGATTTTGTGTTCTCTTTCAGGTGACCAGGAGCCCCGTATCCATGCCCCAAGACTGGAAGGGCAGCAGCAACCACCGGGAGCACAGGGCTGTCCTCGGGTAATGTTTTGTCTGCCTTCTAGATCCAGGTCCAAAGTAGATGGTGGGATCGGTGACTGGGTTAAACTGACTTCTGTGTCCTTCTCCCCCACCCCCTGCATCCCACACCCCACACCCCTTGGAGAGAGGGCACCTCCTTTCCACTGAGGACTCAGGGCCGGTCTCGCCACTAGGCCCGTGGGCTGTTAGGGTGTAAGGGACGGGGGAGGGAGGGCGGACGGGGGAGGGAGGGGGGGACGAGGACGAGGAGAGAGGGGACCGGATGTACTAACCAATGGGTCATTTCTCTTCCTGCGGCGTCTGCTGGACCAGTGTGTCGTGTTACAGGCAGATATAGACGACCTCAAAGAGCAACTAGGTATGACGAGCCCCTGGCTGGGGCAAGGACAGACCACGGTGTCTTCCTGCAGGTGCTGGGAGCATGGGGCCGGGGTGAGCTGCAGGTGCAGGTGGCATCTCTGGGACTCACATTTCTGGGGGGAGGAGCACCGAGCGGGCTGGCCCTGGAGCCTTCCGTGCGTTGACAGCTAGGGATGCGCACGAGTCGAGATGTCCTGTGTGAGCGAACTCCATGTGCTCTTGGTCCACGAGTCCCAGAGGGCTGAACTTACGACGTGTAGAGATGCCGTGCTTATTTTGCCTTGAACTGCCGCTTGGTGTGGCTTGTGTGGTTTTTGCTGTTGTTTCTTTGCTGACTTTCATTTTAACGTGTTCTGAAATGTCCCAACTTTTGAGAACTACTGGTACGTTTTGTTCCCCCTTAAAAGACATTTCCACATTTAGTTCAGGTGATGGGTGGGCAGGTCTGTCCCAGGACTGTTTGGACAGGGCCTGGTGGGGTCTCAGGTTGCAGGGAGGGGGCTCCCCTAGGGGGAGGTGGTGGGTTTCTACGTCCCTGTGTCTGGAGTGCCTGCCTCTGCCTCTCTGTTTCAGCGGCCATGCAGTCCCTCGTTGACAAGCTCCAGGCCCTTGGACGTGAGTGTTACACATACCATACCCCTTCCCACAATCCTTCCTGGTCGTTTAGGAAGCTATGGGCTGGCTCTGGCGTGCGGCCCTTCCCTGACTCTGCTCGGTCTGACAGGTTGAACCCGGCGTCTTCATACAAGACAAGCAACTGGTACTTCAGGAGCCTGGGAGCCGTGGCCAAGCTGGTTCCCTCCGTTTCTTCTTCTTCAGCCAGGGCTTGCCCTGTCCCCTGTTTTTGCCCCCTGCCCACCCCAGTTCGCCGCTGTTTCAATTAAAGCCGCTCTCATCTTCTGTGCTCTGCCCTGTTTCTGTGTGCTTGGGGGAGCAGGGGTGACGAGGGAGGAGGACTCGGGGAATGTTCCAGGTCATAGCACCTAAGAGCAGTACCCCTGGCATACTGTGTCGCCCATTCCCTGCGGGGCTCCTGGGCCAGCCTCTGAGCAGCAGCCCTGCGTGCGCTCCGGCTCCCCCTGGTGCCCTGGGTCTGGGTTCTTGAAGGCCCTGCCCGGACACATTAGCATTTCCTCCCTACCCCTACAGGCCCGGTTCCCGGTCCCTCCACATCTGCTCCAGTGTTGGTGTCTCAGCTCCCCTCTCCCTCCCCTTCGGCGGGAACCAGTGACCTTCCAGGGCTCCAGTCCCTCTTGCCTTTCCTCACTGGGTCCCATGTCCTGGTTCTGCCCTCTCGTCCTTCTTTCAGTCAGGAGCGTCCTGACCTCTCCCGTGGCCTGATGCCGGTGGCCCTTCCCGCACTGTTATTGCACAGGTGTCCAGGAGCACGATGGGGCTCACATCCCCCCTCCTTGTGGAGTCACTGTCCCCGCTGGTGCCACCGTGCTGTGCACATGGACGGCCCGGCCAGAAACCTGTGCTCCACCCTCTGCTTCTCATCAGCTCTCACCTTGGAAACTCACCAAATCCTGTCAGTCCTCTGTCCTTCCCTCCCTCCCTGGTTTCAGTAGAGGTCTGCTGGCAGAGGCCATATCCCAGAGGGTGGTGCATCAAAAGGGCGGGGCCCGGGGGCCAGGAAGGAAAGAGGGAGCAGGTTGTGTCTGGGTTGGAGGTGGGGAAGATAAGTCTGTTGTGGTACCTCCGGCCAACTGGAGTGAAACTGCCTGCCCACTGCAGCAACTGCGGGTGGTCCAGGGAGCCGGGATTCCGCATCCTTCATGTCCTGGCCAGCCATCTGCCCCTTCTCCTGCTGGCTGGCTCCACAGACTTGGTTGAAAATGGCCAGGTAGCTTCCAGGGCAAGTGTGGACGCCAGGCCTGAGAGTTCTTAGATGGTCCCGGTCAAATACTGTCCCACCACTCCCATGCCGCAGATTTTCCTGGACGTGATATCTGTGTCCCAGTCAATCTTCCAGCCGGCCTGTGAGGTCACACGAGATGGTGTCTGCGCTCCCTGTTCTGAGTTCACCCTGTCTAGCCATGGGTGTGGCCTCCTTCCTTCAGCCAGAGGCCTGGGCTGGGCAGGCCCGAGACTCTAAAGGTTTGGGTGAGGTGTGTGTAGCGTCTGCCAGCTCCCATTCCTGAGAGCCTGGGTGTTGAGCCAACAAAGAGGGTGCAGATGCAGAAATCCCGAGGTGAGTGTGTGCAGGAGGGGCCCTTCTGTCTGTCCGTCTGCCTGTGTATGCTTGTGAATCAAATTAATCGGGGACGATTCCCCTTGAGGGAGAAAGAGCTGATTCCGGGAGTGGATGCAGTGGGAGGAAGCCGTCAGGGATGGAAGGGTGGACTCTACTTTTGACAAGAGATGTTTTTTCAAGTACTGACTCCTAGGAGGGCATGGAGCAGGATGAAGTGGAAGTCACCCAGCCAACGACGGTGTCAGGATCTGAGAATGCTGGAGTCGCTGGAGTAGGCTCTTGACCCTCCAGGGTGAGTGTGATGTCTCAGACATCTCCCGGAGCGGGGGGGTGGTGCAATGATGACTCAAAGGCTGGCTGCCTCCGGGGAGCTGGGACGAGCAACCTCTTGAAAGACGGCCACGATTTCTGAAAGAACTAGAAATTGACCTTCCATGTGACCCAGCAGTACCCCTATTGGGAATGTACCTGGAGGAGCTCAAATCATTCTACGAAAAAGATACCTGTACACGTATGTTTGTTGCAGCTCTGTTCACACTAGCAAGAACATGGAACCAGCCATGTTGCCCATCGAAGCTGGACTGCATAAGGAGTGCATAAGGAGTGCATAAGGAGTGGAGTCACTGTCCCCGCTGGTGCCACCATGCTGTGCACATGGACGCCCCGGCCAGAAACCTGTGCGTTTCTCATCAGCTCTCACCTTTGAGACTCACCAAATCCTGTCGGTCCTCCCCACCTCCCTTGTTTCAGTAGAGGGCTGGAGGCAAATGCCATATCCAAATGGATGGCACAGCGAAAGGGAAGAGAAAGGGGGCACAGAAGCAAAGTGTGAGCAGGTTTGTGTTGGGTTGGTGGTGGGGAAGATAAAGTCTGTTGTGGTACCACCGTCCAGCTGGCGTGAAACTTCCTGTGCGCTGCAGCTACTATGAGTGTTCCAGCGATCTGGGCTTCCACATCCTTCATGTCCTGGATAGCCAACTGCCCCTTCTACCGGCTGGCACCACAGACTTTGTTGAACATGGTCAAGTAGTTTCCAGGGCGAGTGCAGATGCCAGGCCTGAGTGTTCTTAGATGGTCCCGGTCAAATACCATCCCACCACTCCCATGCTGGAGATTTTCCTGGACGTGATAGTTCTGTGTCCCACCTTAATCTTCCAGCCGGCCTGTGAGGTCAGACGAGATTTTGTCTGAGCTCCCTGTTCTGAGTTCACATTGATTGGCGATGGAAATGGCCTCCTTCCTTCACCCAGTGTCCTGGACTGGGCAGGCCCGACACTCCAAAGATCAGATTCATGCTTGGGTGAGGTATGTGTAGGTTCTGCCAGCTCCCATTCTTGAGAGACTGGGTGTTGAATTGACAAAGGGGCAAGGGGGAGCAGGTGCAGATACCCCAGAGGTGAAGGTGTGCAGGAGGAGTCCTTCTGTCATAAGTTATGCTTGTGAATCAACTTAATTGGGGACGATTCCCCTTGAGGGAGAAGGAGCTGATTCGGGGAGTGGAGGCAGTGGTCAAGGAGCCATCAGGGATAGAATGAGCAAAATGAAGGTTGGGCTCTACCTTTAACTAGAGGTGCTTTTCAAGACCTGACTCCTAGGAGGGCATGGAGTAGGATGAAGTGGAAGGCACCCAAGCCATTGGTGGTGTCAGGGGTCTGAGAATGCTGGAGTTGCTGGAGTAGGCTCTTGATCCTCCAAAGTGAGTGTGATGCCCCAGACATCCCGTGTGTGGTGTGGAATGATGACCCGAAGGCTGGCTGCCTCTGGGGTGCTGGAACGAGCATCCTCTTTGAAGCAGGGAGTGCCTGTGGGGAGACGGCCACATTGTGACTTAGCAAGACACGGGTAGGATGGGTACAGTGAGGCTGGGACGTGAGAAGGAGGGACTGTTCTTGGAAAACTGGTCAGGCTTGGTGCCACCCTTCCTGCATATTCTCACTCTGTCCCACTCACGGGCTCAGGGACAGGGGCTATGGCAGGATTTTACAGAGACAGATGAGACACCGAGGCCAGGATGCAGTGTTCATTCATGCTGGCACTGGCTCAGAGAATTCACATCCAACAGTTGAGCCCCAAGTGCAAGGGGGCATTGCCTTTTATACGTTTTTGTCTTTTTTGTTCCCCCGATAAGGCTTACATTATTACTGGCATACATTCTGATTGAGTATTTCACAGCTCAAGGTTGCAACAGAGTTACACATGCGCACTACAGATTGGGGGGCTAATACCTTTTTAAAATAAATCTTTCTGAGAAAGCTCTTATGTTGCTAGGAGGATCCTTTCACTATTCTGGGAAGGCTTTTATCTTACTGTACTAAGAGGTCCCCTCCTCTAACCTGGGAAGGCCTTCATCTTATTAGGCTTGTGGGGAGGGCTCCCTGCCTCATTCTCTGCTTTGATGCTCGAATCCCTTTTTAGGGTTATAGAGCCTCACTTTGGTTTAATGGTTTGTATTTCCATAACAGCATTACATGCGCTGCTGTTTTTCTTTGAACCATGGCTTCATTGAGGCTGGAGACAGACCTTATAACCAAGGGAGCAAGACAGGGCAGGATTAGACAAATTCCTAACATCATGAGTATAACACTTATGAGGGTTTTAAATCCTTCAAAAGTTGAGAACCAACCTTCAAACAGTTCTCCAGGGTCCCAGCCTTCCCAGGTCTGGACTGAGACATGAGCAATCTTCCTCATCCGGTCGATTTCTTCTCTGACCTTTTCCTCATCTATTTGCAAGTTGCTTAAGTTAAACTTTCCACAAACCCCTCCTTCAGAAGCAAGTAAGTAATCTAAAGCTAAGCGGTTTTGATAAATGGCATTGCACATTTTAGTTTGTTGTTTGACCAATATGTTAAGGGCCCTTGCAGTTTCATTAGTTATAATTTCAACAACCGCCTGTAATCGAATTATGTGGTTTAGCATTTAAATGGGGGTCTGATAGCCCCAAGATCCATCCTGTGCCCAGATAGCTGGGTCATAGTATTGGATAATGCACTCCAGGGGTCATTCATTATCTTGCCAGTCTCCAATTTGCAGAGCACATTGCTTTCTTTGGGAGTTCCAGGCTTTACATATCTGGACCCACAACTGTTCTCCCTTTGCAAGTGGGGGGAGTAGGAAAAAGGAAGGCTGAATAGACCCTAACACACAAGCTCCTGTCCAGTCTGAAGGAAGTACAGTGTAGGCTATTTTCCCACAGGTCCAGTATAGCCCATTTGGGGCCCACCATTTGATGTCTACGTCGACAGCATTCCATGCCTGTTGGAGGTGGGGGAAGTTAGACAAAGGGTGAGGGTTTGGTTCAGGGTGGTCTAGGGACCTCCCACCATTGAGTTTTGTTAGTCGTGGCATTATAATACCTTTGGCCTAAGCGTGTCAGACTTCCAACAGGAGTGTTGAACTTTATTCCCCATCAAGCAAGGCAGTTCTTTCCTATAATTGAGGTTTTAAGTAGCCAAATTGCATTGGCAGGGCTGGGATACCTTGTTTCATTGTGGAGCTCTTGGGGCTCCAGTTCTCTAGCTTCCCATGGCCGTTGATCTCCCACATCCATAACAAGAGGAGATCTTTAGAGACGGAGTGATAGTTTCTGCCAAGGTTAGGAACAGATTTCTAGTCGTAAAGGAGAGGGGAGGAGGACTACTTTCTATTTCTTCATAAAAGGAGTAAAAGACCTCATGGGAGGAGGCTTGGAGTGGGATTGTGACTCTTTTGACATATAGTAGGGCTCCAGGGCCAAGACCTTGCCCATGAATATGTATGCCAAGCTATGGCCTGTTTTCCATCCTGGGTTTTTTAGGTTAAAGATGGTAAAATTAACGGGATTGCGGGCTCCTGATTTACAATTAGAGGCGGCAACACCCTTTTGAAGGAGAGCGACTTTACCTCAGCCTCTCCAAGTGGCCCACAACCCCAATGAGGACTGAAGAATTGAGACAAACTATGACATGGGGACCACATTCCATCTGCAGGCTGTTCACACATATACTTATCATTGAGCCTATGCTCTCTCTCCCAGGCTAGACTCCTACATGATTTAGTACCGGTACTGTGGGTTACAGCATAACACCAGGTTTCATTCATGGCCAAGCAGGCATCAAAAAGTACAGGCATCGGTTGGCAGGGATTGGTGATCAGGGTTCAGTTAATTAAATACCCCTTTTCCTTGGTGCGACAGACCCCGAACCATTCTTTACTCAGGGTGTATTGTGGGTTGAAACAGGTGTACTGATTCCCTTGCTGACAAACAGAATAGGTGGTTTTATTATACCTGCAGGTCCCTGAAATAGTTCCCTGGCAAGAGAAATTGGTCTGATAAAGGAGGGTCCTGGTAACTCCTTGACCTGACCTGGTTGTGCAAATACATGGGTTACATGAGGCAGAGGGCTTTGAAATTACAGTAGGGAGCCAGATTAGTAATAATAGACAATGGTCATACATCCTGTCCAAAAGAGGTAAAAGAGTGCTAACAGTAACCTTTCACCATGGGTCCAGCTGTCTGGAGTAACCGTTGCCAAACCTGCAGCGAAAACCAAGGCAAAAATTACAGCAACAGACAATAGCAAGGGATGACACTGCATCACAATAAAAACACAGTCCGTTTGGTGGTTTGATGGTCGAATCCTCAAGCTTCTGCTGTGCATAGATTAGTCAGCTTTCGGAGTGACTAAAGCAGGGCTGTAGTCCTCTAAGGTCCTG